TTTCTTAATGCTCATTGCCATGCTCATTTCATCATCAGTAAGCTTACCTTTCCTTTCGGTCCAGATTGCTTAAAATATGAAAAAAGAAAAAAAAACATAAGATGCAAAGCCCCACATGTGTTGCACATCACTAAATTCAAAAGTTATTAAATATAAATTATAATTGTTTCATCGTCTCTTGCACTCACTGGACTAGTTTTCAAACAAGCATTATTATTTTTCACAGCATTTTTTTAACAGTATTTATAAACACACAAACAAATGTTATTTCACAGACAGCAATGGTCAGTGGTCTAAATACTACATTGTCTTGCCTCTTATTCAATGTGTAAAATTTGATTAAGTCTGAACTCAATCTGATCATCTCACTTAATTCACTGCAATGTAGAACCTGACATGACAGAATCGTAATACATGAATTAAGATTTCCAATTTTCCTCATTTCCAATCCCTGATCACCATGCAAAAGAAGATCAATTTAGATAACTTGTTTCGAAGTATTCAAAAAAAATACTTAAGTGTTTAAATTGAGAAAAAAAAAAAAATCAGAAAGCACTACTTAAATATTTAGGAGACCACATGCAATCAGTTACTGGATAGAGAAGGATAAACAGAAGCAACCAGCCCCCTCCCGAGGTTTTGGCTAAAAAGAATCTCCAAAAATAATTTAAGAATTAGGGCCACTAGTTTCAGAATTGTCTCCTTCAACATCGGTGAATGTAGCTGGTGCTCACAACTCAGGTCCTTGTTATACCAAGACTGATATAAAAATAGATCTAACTAAGCACAGCACAAAGACAACTCGAAAATAGTATCTTTATCTCTACTGCCTTTTCAAAACTTGCAATACGGAATGCTGTAAGCTTTTAATCTATGTGGCTGTTCCTCCCAAATATCAAAAGCCTAAGAAACTTCTGTCATATATGCATTACACTAACATCATTCTAAAACAGAACAAATCTAAACTGGTTCCTGTTTTACTTCAGTCAAATTAAACACAGCAATGACATTACAGGGTAATATAAGCTCATTCTCCTTTCCTTTTCACAAAGAGAACACTCACAAGAATAGACCAAACTTTCTCCAAGTCTGTTACCCAGAGGAACGGCAGGATTGAAAGTAAACCAGGCAAGAAGGTAATCGTGATAATCCTATAGAGTGCAGTACAAAAACACATTCAACCTCCACAGTGCTCTGGGAAGAGAGTAAAAAGGAATTCAAAATTGAATGTGACCACTACAACTTAGACTGGGGTGGGGGTAATCAGCCAATGCTGCACGTAAGTGGAGAAAAATTGCTTCTACCTGGAGCTAGCCTTTACAAACAACAAACACCGTTTCTGTGCAGGTCACATCTGAGTTTATAAATCCAGTTAGATCCAAACCATGTCCATATGGAGCCATATCCAGTATCTTTGTGTCCTTGGCACAGTTAATATGTAACTGGGATTAACTGTTTACAGGTGCTGTAAAGAGTCACACTTAAGAAAACTTAGAGGCAGGAAAAACATTTCCAGAATGCCTGATACTGTACACTGTCATTAGATTAGATGCCTCACTTGTTTTAATATCATAGAATCATTTAGGTTGGAAAAGATCTTTAAGGTCATTGGGTCCAACCATTAACCTAACACTGCCAAGTCCACCAAGTCCTGTGTTAACATAACGCATTTAAAAGAACTCTCACTATCACATCTCAGAAAGATTAAGAAATGAGAATCCTGGCCAGATCCAGGAATTTTAACAAGCAGTGTCCCTACGAACTGCGTCATGCAGCTCATGCATATATGATCTGTTAGACATGCTGTACATACACGCTATTCCAAGGCCAAGTCTTAGAGACAGTCAGTCAATAGCATAAGACAGAACTATGCATCCATTAAATGAAGCAAAATAGTTTGAACCAACCACACTAGGCTAAGCTGTATCTGAAAATCTGTAGTATCACAAGCGAACACATTTTAATTTCATCCCCAGATTTCACTGGAAAAAACATGAATAATATTTATCAAAATATTATTTCAAAATGCTCAATTTTGTTGTACTGGAAACTTAGATTTTAAATATGAAAGAAACAGATACTAAGGCAGAATTTAAATTAACACGCATGTGCAAAAAAGTTGGAGAAAGATGAGAAACACAGTATACATCACAAGCTCCAAATTCAATTTGATAGATTTCCATTGAGTTGCATAATTAGCTAGCCCCATGTGACACTGACACACCATCCCCACTCAAAGAACCTAGCATAAAAACCAGAATCTGTAACATCAGTGCCAGACACTCAATCTGCTCAGAACTAATTTAATCACGTTTTTATTTTCGGTTATCCTTCCAATAAACCATTATAGATTCAAGAATGATATATTAGGTTAGTTAAAACTATTTTCCCCATGTTGTTACTGATTGCCAAACCATAAAACAATTCTACAAATGTAAACAATGTAAAAGAACACAACTTTGTGTTGCCTGTAAATCAGTATAGGAAAAAAAACCCAACACCCTAGAACTTAATTTCCATGCTACCAGCTTTTCTTTGTCTTGATAGATACCGAGAATTTTATTCTTGGTTTGCCACCCCCATTCTCTGCATACAATCCTTTCCAAGGAGACACCATTAGAAGTTACTTCTAAACTCAATTGTCTAGTGTCAGTAAAAACTAGCAAAAAAAGATATTAAAAAATTCCCCAACAACTAAAAATGTATGATAAAAAAATTTACCCACTTTATACGCACTAGAATTTTATGAACAGTTTTATAGCCCTATTTTAGTGGGGGTTTTTTCCCTATCAACTATTGTCTTCTCATCCATAAACCTACATCTCCCATATCAAGAAGACTTGAGATCCCCCTTCTATTTTAATTTAAAAAAAAAAAAGAAAGTATGACAGGAGGCCATGTTCTATTAATTTTCAGTCCTCTAACTCAGAAACAGATTTAGAAGCTTTTAAAAATTAGTCAATTGAGTCAACTGGAAAAAGATACTAGGATTAAAAATCCTTTGCACAGTTCCTCTGTAAAGCTCCCCCTCAGTCAATTAGACCATGCTGGTTCTGACACTCTCCAGTAGCAAAACATCGCTTGAATTGTTACGATTATTTCCTGCCTTTGAAACCCTAAATTGTTCTTAGTGTAAGAGTTAATTGTCTGTTGTTAATGTAAATGAACTAAAACAACAACTCTAAAAGAAAACATATTTAGAAACATTCAAGATGACTACTATCCAATTACTTCATGCAATATTCAGCTTGCCTGTATTATGCATTAGTTTTCTTTCTGCGTGTCACACACATGAAGTCTCCCCTACTTTTTTTTTTTCCACATTACACTGTAGGCTTACAAAGAAGGAAATCCCACAGCTGAAAAAGGCAAGCAGGTAAGCCTAACATCCTCTCAAGATTAAGAATCTCTGGAGTGGACTCTTGCATGCTGAAGAAGCCTACAGCACTTAGGTAGGTAAGATGAATCCATGTTGACTGGCTGTTCCACAGAATCATCTTACAACAAAGCTTAATCATTACACTAATATTATTAAGGTCAAAATTCAGAGATCCGAGAAAGAACAGTCTCACATGATTTTGCTTACTCCAGATAATTTTAATTAGCACTGCAGATCAAGATTTTATCCCTTAGAATTGCAAAAAAAAAAAAGAAGTGTGAAAGGTTAGGGCACGAATGCTTAGAGATGCCCCATGCTTCCTCAATGGAACACTGAACAAAAATATTCTAAAAAGGACTGCATGTAAGAAGAAAAGAGTGCAGCTGGTTCAGCCTAAACCAGACTGATAACATAAACCTCATCTTTCCATTTAATTCATTGGAAAAGTTCTGCCAATCCTCCTTAGTCATCCCTGCCTTGCAGTGATGGGAAGAAATGTAAAGGGAGATCTCTGCTAATCTGCTATTACTAAGGGGAAGGAAATGTCCATGCTATTTTCCACTTACAGATGACAGTATAGTTCAAAATGGAAGGAGGCAACAATGGTCTAATTCCTCAGAGACAGGACTGCAAAATCCACTTTTCAGTCTGTTTCTTCAGTGCTAATTACTCTAATACATGTTTGGATCACATCACTCATTGACATTAGTGTATGGGCTTTGTTTTTCTGAAGATAGCAAATGAAAGTAAGGGAAGTGGGATAAAAAAAGAGGATGATGTCTACATATGGTCCCACCACCACAAAAAACCTACACTAAAAAACAGAGTGGAAAAAAGGGGGCAGAAGAAGGAGGCTACAAAACACTGACAGGATGAAGTACTCATGTGGGCTGGTGGAAATCCGTGAAATTCATAGACAAAAAGAGTTCTGAATGGACAAATTTTGAAAGAAAATTCCCTAAAGCAATGGTTAGCTCCTATGTTTGTGACACACGTTGGGTGTGAAAAGCCTGTAAAAAAAAATAAAAAACAACCCCACAATTTGTAGAAGTCTGATGTAGTTTTAAGTTTTCAAAACAACTAAGTTTAATTCATCACAGCTGAGTAAGATTCCCTAGTTTCCAGTCATCCATTCTAACAAATATTTATATAAATGTAAAACCTTTCTTCTATGAGATGTCCCAGTTTATGTATTTTATGCTTTCTTTATAGACTACATAGGATAACAGATCTATAACTCAATCTTTAGATGTATTTTATTCAAGCTGGAGTTTCTGTGAATTAGTATTTGATGATCATGTCAGTTATGTGAATTTCTACTGCATACTATGTCCATTTCAAAGGATTTTCTAAATGTATTTCCATTAGCAGGTGCTCTCCTACTGAGTATATGCCACAGTGTGCTTTAAAATCAGTAAATTCTAAATTATGTAACAGTAAGTCCTAAATGGTACACTTTCTGAAACTTTAGTAATTAAAATCAAAGCTCACAATCAAGAATGCACAATGTAATTGCTTATGTTTCCTTAAAACATTTCATAGCGAAAGGAAAACCACTACATACAAAACCAGAAAGGACTTTTTTCAATTGAAACATCTGGAGAAACTAATGTAGTCTTACCTTTGGGCTGCTGTTTTTACTACTGTTGTCTGTGCATGCGCATGGTGAAAACGTCTACCATGTACTACAGTTACTGGACAAGACATATTCTGAGCATTTTCACTGCAAACATACAGAAAAAATGGTTTAAGAAAAGATTCTGGTATATTCATACATTGACTTAGCTAAAAATTGTGGTGTCCTGCTTTTACAGTAACAGCCATACAAAACCAAAAATCAATGAAGTATTTCTGAATCAATAATATCACTTGTTACAATGGTCTGACAGGCATAAGAACATTCAGTCTAGAATAGAAGAGACCAGTAAGAATATACCCAATTTTATTTTTCTTCTTTCCTTTAAAATTTTATCACCATCCAAAACACTGTGAACCAGCTCTCCTTCATGCAACCCTGCCACTGTAAAAAGACACTGCCTTTTTAAATGAATTACAACTATTCATAATTAATTTCATACTTCCATCTATACATTTTATTAAAGCATACTATAACTTAAAGGGGTAACGTGATCAGATTGAACTAGACATTCAGGAATTTCCCTCATCTTATTAATCATAAGAGGACATAAACACAGAACATTTATTGATGTAAGATGGCTGGTAACTGAAAAAACACAACACATCTCAAAAAGAAGAGAGAAGCATTCTTAGGTGCTCAAGTATCTCAGCAGGACTGCACAAAGATAGTATATTCCTCAATGTCTTTAGCATTTCTTTGGTTTATTCATTTGTTGCCTTTTGACACTTCAATTGCATTACTATGTAAAACAATTAGTTCTTGAGAGAAGATTACTTACCATTATCCTCTCTAGTAAAAGCTGACATAAAAATACTGTAGATCAATAATATAGTACTCCTTCAAAGATCATTAGACCCTAACAATTATCCCGCACATTTCTGTGACAGGACATGCAATATTACATTTGAAATGTTCCAAAAATACGTAGCTTTTAACAGACAGCATGTCAAAAAATTTCTTTACTGGAAGAGTGGTCAAACATTGGAACAGGCTGCCCAGGGAAGTGTCACCATCTAAGAGTCACCATCCCAGGAGGTGTTCAAAAAACGTGTAGTTGTGGCACTTTGGGACAACACTACCAGTGGGCATGGTGGTATTAGGTCAACAGTTGGACTTTATGATCTCAGAGGTCTATTCCAACCTAATGATTCTATGATAATGCAAATTGTTAAATTGTTTGCAATGCTTAAATTTTGCTTGTAATTGCTTGGAAATTCCAATTGCACTAAATAAAATGATGTAAAAGAGCATTCTGACTGATTCAAAATATTTCTCAGAAATACCCAACAGAAGTTTTGCTCCTGCTGTTTGTCCCATTATGAACAATGAAAAAAACCTGAAGTACCAGAATTCCCCAAAAAGCTGGCAACCAATTCCTAATCCTTCCTCTACATTCCCCCAAAAGGTGAAAGGGAACAAACTGCTAGCTTGTTTTTTAAGTTTCCTTTCAGTTTAGCACTACAAACTCATTTGGGAGCCTTACATCGAGTATCGTAAGTCAGTATTAGAAGCTTTTGGAGTATTTCTGACTGATCAGATGATGACTGTTATGATCTGACTGATCATAACATAACCATGAACATAACAAAATAAGACCTATCAATCTCTTTTCTAGAACATGAAGTTTAGAAACATAAATGTTCTGAGTTAACAGTTCAACTCTTCAAAACTAAACCTAATACCATCCTATTCAACCACCAACCTCTTGAAAGCTAAACACACCCATCCCACATGCTTCCAAGTCAAGACTATGCAACTCCAGCTGGTTAGTCAGCATCCAGACCAATTTACAGCCAACCTTCTGTTTAATTTTGTCACCTGAGAAATAAAAAGCTGGCAGCTACTTGCCCTAAATACTTTAGGATGTCTCAAATCCTCTCTGGTTTCCAGTTCAATGTCTTTGAAAGAGACACTAGAAAAGAAAACACAAGCAGAGTGCAGGAAAGCCTTCTCAGATGCTTAAGCAGCTTAAACAACCAAGCAAGTCTATAAACACACCTAATCTCACGTTTTATCATTTTACTTGTTGAATCTGAGCTTTGCCAAATTATCATGAGTGGGAAACTCTAAGTCTTGTGTCCCTGCAGCACAAAACACTGTTAAGCAGCGCTTCTGCTTTCTGCCTCACACTCTAGTAGTGAGAAAGTCCAGTAGGTGCTGGAATAGAATATCACAGCCTGCTGGGTGATCAGATTTGAGTCAAAGCAGACTGTTCTAGATGGCACATTTAAATGGTTCATATGGTCTCAGATATTCTTCCAAGTAGGACAGCTGTAAAACACAATCTGCTCTACAATCCTGTTCTTTATATACATGTCCTGCTCTGGCAGAGGGGTTGGACTAGATGATCTTTCGAGGTCCCTTCCAACCCCTAACATTCTCCGATTCTGTGATTCTTTGAATAGAACATACCCAGTGCAGACAGAATCACCAGAAAATTTAATCATCAAGCCCTAGCAAGCCGCAAAACGGGTATATCCGAACTGAAATCTGGGTTTGCAAATTTCAGCACACTTTCAAGAAAATTAATATACAACCCTAATGTAATGGTCAGAAAGTTCCTTGAAAGAACAAATGTTGTGGAAGTCTCACAGAACTTACAACATATTAACGATATATGTCTCCTTGACATGATCTCAGAAACCACAGAATCGTTTAAAGCCTAGGTTCTGATGGAAACAAGGTTACATTATCACATTCTGTCAACTCATCCGAGAAACTTCTTAACACCACAGATTCAAAAGGCAAAGCACAGAGGAATCCGGCACTGGGCAAAGGGATGGATCTAGAGGCAATGAAAGCACGACGTTTCAGGAACACAGCACATAACTACAGACTACATTAATTCTGCTGTTCATCAAACTTTTTTTATGGAATATTACAAAATTTAAAAAAAAATCTAAAAGGGACAATATGAGAAATTTTCATACAAGTTACTAAAAACTAGCAAAGATAAAAGCCATTTAAAGTAAGACCTCATGAATAATAATAAAAAAAAGAACCCAACCAACCAAACCCCCAACGAAACTATTAGGGTTAAGCTAGAATTTGATACTGGATTTGCTTAACCAGATAATAGATGATAACTTTTTGGTTGGTTTAAACTGTAGTACATGTAAGGGGAGTGGTACAAGGAAAATGTCTCTTCACTGTCCTTGCATATCCCTTCTTCTTATCACTCATTCCCTGAATTTTAGGGAATATTGTACTATAATACTAATTTGAGTGAAGTGCCACTGATCTAAAGAGTTTTTAATCCCTATTCTGCATACAAGGTGGAAAAAGAAAATATACTTCAATTTTGTGATAAAAATCACCATGAATGGCTCAATAATCTCAAGTATCTGATCTTCCTGCACTTAATTCAGTAGCTTAACGCATGATCAACATTCAGAACTTTCTCTAATTGAAATGGCCAAATATTGAAAGGGTAATTATTAAGCTCTTTCTGTCCTGCATGTCAAAGTGAACACACCACCAATCTTCACTACAGACAGTGACTGGATCACAAACCTTTATGGATTTGGGAATTTTGTTGTGATACATGTGTTATGAAGGATACAACACTATCACAATTAATGTATTAAATCAAGGTAATCACTTACAGCATAATCGTATTTCCAAGCAGACTTTGCGACCAAAATGTGAAAAGGAGTTAAATAATGCTAGTAGTATGAGTTTTAAGCAAACATCTTCTCCCAAGTAACTAGTGACAGGACGAGAGGAAATGGCCTCAAGTTGCGCCAGGAGATCTTTAGATTGGACATTAGGAAAAATTTCTTTACCGAAAGAGTGGTCAAGCATTGGAACAGGCTGCCCAGGGAAGTGGTGGAGTCACCGTCCCTGGAGGTGTTCAAAAAACGTGTAGATGTGGCACTTTGGGACATGGTTTCGTGGGCATGGTGGTGCTGGGTTGACTGTTGGACTTGATGATCTTAGAGGTCTTTCCAACCTTAATGATTATATGGTTTTAAGTGTTTACAGCAGTCACAGTGGCCTACACACATCCATTATTACCAACTAAATTCCTTCACTAATGACAGCTTAGTAAGAAGGTCGATATTTGTATTTTCCATTTAAATTCAGCATGCAGCTCAGTACTAGACAGAAGGTGGATGGCTGTTTTCAAAGCAGATGATGTGACCTTTAAGTAAGGTAACATACACACAACTGGTATTCCTTTTTTAGTTGAATTTTATAAATCATACTAGGTCTTAGGTTTTTAAGGTAGTATTTGTCAATAAAAGACAGTCCCAATCCAAGTAACTGAATGTCTGAACTAAATGCTTAGACTGTCTAAAAAAACCTCAGCAATTATTTACCTTAAAAACAAAATAATAACCCACATACCTTTCTGGAATTTAAGAAAAACACACACATACACAGTCCAGTATGACTGCTTTAATAGAAAAGGGAGAAAAATTATGTAATAAGGTTGGATTTCACTACAGATCCCACAGACAGAATTAAATTCTACTTTCCAGAGGATTAGAAGAATCTTACTTTAAATGGTTAGGTGCACTCAAAACAAACAACAAATATAATTTACATGCATGGGCTTCTTTACTACTCTTGTTTTGAGGTCTTTTTGTTTTTAAGGTAAATAAGTGATGAGGTTTCATAAGAACTGGCCAATTTCAAGAGAAAGCAATCCAGAAATCTGTATATAATCTTATAAATCTGTTGTGTGTACTAAAAAGTAAAGACTGAAACACAAAGCATCATTTGCATAGCATAAATCAAGGATAATGAACTACTGCACTAATTTGTGGAAATGTACAAAGAATTAAAAAAAGGGATGGAAGGAAATATCCATGCTCAGATTTAGCAAGAGTTGCCAAAGCAGCACTTGAACGTGTTCAAAAATAACAAAGCCCTGTGCAATGGCACAACTTTTAACCTGTAACTTGCCATTCTGGATCTCTGGGGATTAGTTTTGTTTTTGGTTTGTTGGGGTTTTTTTTTTTTTTGTTTATTTATTTATTTATAAAAGACCATCCACAAGCTACAGAAAAACTAAATTAGTGGTATTGATGGCGTTTGGTTAAGATAGCGGGTGGTCACCTAGGTTGTGAAATTCAACAAGATTAATATGTCCGAACAGGTTACAACCACAACATCAAGGCAAGAAGAGTCCTTATTTTGACTGAAGTATATACAATTCTTGTATTCATTCTTCTCTATCAAACTGATGGACCACCAGCCCAGACTGGAAATTCTGGATTTGTTCCCTGCACGTGAGGTTCAAAGATCAGAACTGTAGGAAAACACATATACCATGCAGAACTTCAAGGATTTATTTCCTCAAGTGACTGTGTGGCAAGACGTTCCCACTAACCAACAATGTTCTATGGATCAGCACGCAAGAATGAAGACAAGGACACCCCTCATACAGCTACGCCTGGGTTAGGTACTCGATGACTGGCCCAACTGAGTGCACTTTAGCCATATGAAACACTCACAGAGAAAGTTACACAAATGTATCACTTTTTTACTGTCTACTAAATAGAGATCGATCTGTTACAAGCTAGGGATGGTAGTAACAAGCAAGTACAGCACTGAATACTTAAACACTACCCCTGTCAGCTCTAAATGCAAGTGACAATCTCAAGCTATCATGTAGGAGCACAGATATCTGCTGGATCCGTTAAAGGAATAGTCTGTGACTCCTAAATGAAATGATATTTTGCAGTAAGGAAAACAGAAAACTCATCCTGAGTTAACCTTGACAATTCACAGCAACGGAAAGAAGAAATTTTTGATGGGGATGTAAGAAACATTCTACTAGCTGCTAGCACTGTACAGAGGAAACAACAGCACATGCAGACAACATTGGTAAGGCACTGACAGGTTTGCCAGTGAATGCTTTAACTTTGTTTTAATAATCTTCTGGTATTTTACTAATGTGCTATTTAACATTCTGGAAGAGGGAAGACTTTAACAATCTAGTTTTCTATCTTTGCTCAGAAGCACAGAACAGCATACCTTCTTTAAACGCACAGCAGGTAATGCAAATTACTGCAAGTTCTGTTAATTTAGCATCGATTTATATTCAATGATCAAGTAGGTAAGTAAACACACAAAACTGGATGTAGTACCTCAGTTTCTTGCTATTTCCCATCATGTTGAGGCCAATTGAGTTCCCTTTAAAAAGTCTCAAGCTTCCAGCTTTGCCTCGCCTTGCATATGTTTTTATGGAATCACCACTGGTGCCAACAGCTCCAGGCCGACAACGAAGTGACTGTAACAACAGAATTCACATATGTTAAAATACTTGTATAAAAGTTAAAAGGAAAAAATTAATTATAAAATATTTATATAAATATTACTTTGGTTTCATTTTCAGACTGCTTTTGTATCAAATTTCGTGCAAAATATACCCCACCTACACCTGTACTCACTAGGATTCCTTACTAAACAAAATATGAGTATCTTCAAAGTATTATGAAGCACCTTGCAGTTGTAAGCTATTTCAGTATACATAAAAAGCCACAAAAAGCACGGGTTTTGCATATGTATCTTCTCCTTTTATATATACACACACATATATATGCATATGAAATTGGGAATCTGACAGGTAAGCAATCATGGGATAGAATGATTAATTTTTTAAATTAAAAAATATAATCCCATTAATGATAATTGTCTAAACTTAAAACTAGTTATTCATGCTCATATTTTCAGAATACTATACAAACCAACAAGATCTGTAAGAGTAAGAGGAACAAAAACATTAAGGGTAGGCAGATAGGCAGCTTGAGCATATGCTGTTAAATCAACTTTCATTTTGTAATAAGGCACAGATGACTACGCAACAGCGTTTAAGAACCTAGCAAGCTTTAAAGATACAATTTCACTATGAGATAAACGGAGTACTTGCCTTCCTTTCTTCATTGGGACTGAAAGGCCCATCACTGTCATCTATGCTGAGCAGATTTGCCTCACTAGACAGGTGTGGGAGACAAAAGCAGATACATTGTAATGCAATAGCACAAAACATTTTAAACATGCAAAGGGCTTTTTTTTCCTTCTCTATTTAAATTCAAATGCAACACATACACCTTGTATATATATGCCTACAACAACAGGAACATAAAGTGGGCAACATAGCGATTGGGATGTATTATGTGAACTTGAACTTTAAACGTACATGAAATTATTTCACAAAAAGCAAAATTAAAAAGATTATATTAATTCAAAATAGAGAATACTATTGAACCTTCAATATTGTTACGGCAATATTACTGACATCATGAAAGATTCTACACAACCCTATGCATAAACTGAGTCAAATACTAAATTGACCTACAAAACATAGTCTTGGTTTGTTCACGCATATCAGTGTTCAAGTATATGGTTTAAAAACTGCAAACTTCACAGTGCTTTACGAGAAGAACTTAAGTATAACTAAATTTCATCCCACAGCAATTACTGTCAAAATATGTCTTCCTAAAAATAATATATTCAGTTTGGCTCAACTGCTCATTAAAATGTGTTTCTTTAGTACTCCTCTGTCTGTAATCTTCAACCATTATAATGCTGAAGAAGATACAAAAAAAAACCCCTACCCCATGATACTGTGAAAATGTACTCTTTTCAGTAACAAGCAATTATCCTCAAATAATCTGAAGTATTTAAATTAAAACCCCAATCATACATTTTATACTGACAGCAGCTAGATTACGTTCTTGCTTCCAAGAGAAGCCACCTGCAGATAATCCCTTCTCATCAATCCTGGTACGGTTACTCCTGTCTTGGCCGCAACAAAACAATACATCTTTTAGCCAACTTGTAATTGCATGGTTTTGGGCTTTTTAATTAAGATCGTTCAGGCAGAAGTTAACAATGATGGAGGTGAAGGTGGAAACATTTCTCGGCTGCAGGTGCAACACACAGTTGACTTTAGTAAGGTAACCACTCGGTACCGCCCCCTCAATTTCCTAAAAACTTCTTCCATGTACAAGATTTCCCTTCATGTTACAATTTATTCCTCCACCTTATGCAATACAGATATTCCTACATCAAACAAACTAAAATAAAATCTTCTTGAGTCATACGGTGAGAACTGCAGACCCTGAAACTCAGGAGATTGGACTGTGCACAGAGCTGGTTTTGATATGGGAAGAATGATGTCAATGACAACATTTAGTTAGCAGCACTGTAGTTATTTTCCTTTCGTTTACAGACGACAACAAATCTAGGAGTATAATGGTAAATGAACAGTGTACTAGATCACCACTTATTTCCAATAGAAAGCGTCACAAAGACAAAAGAGTATAGTTGCGCTTCTGTCCAGACTGTCCATGGATATTACAATTTTAAAATACAGTAAAATTTTTTTAAACTCTCTTTCAGGATAGATTATTCTTTCAAGGGAGGCTCACTGAGCTTTCTCAACCCTTCGTCAGAAAGCAATGAGTTTAACAATTTCAGAAAATTTCCAGATCCTAAAGAATAAACAAATTCCTGCAGCTCAGACATGAACAGCAACCTATGGTACCTGCAGCTCTGGCATTCACCTACTGTGTTAACCTAGCCAGATCATTTCACCTCTAGATATGTTTTCCTCCTGCAGCTCCAGCCTGTGGAAAAATCACGATGACTTCTGAAACGTCCTTGTAAAGTGGCTACACTTCTAGGGATTCGAGATGCCACAACACTGCAACTATTTTAACAAGGGGTGTTTGGGTGGGTGAGAGAGAAGGTAACAGCCTGCAAATTAACAAAATACTGAAAAAAATCCTTAAATGAAACTGAACAAGAATAACCCTTATGATGCAACTAAGATGACATGACTAGAAAAACATATGGGAATCGGATGTTTTTAAAGAACCGGTATTTTTTAGATTTTAAGGAATGCAAAGAATATGCATCAGTACCTGAAAGGCTGTTTTTTCAGAGAGCAGAATACAGCAACTGAGCAATGTCTATTTGCTCATGTATCACATGCTCACAGTTGCTTAAAAGATGCAATTTATACAGACAGGGGAAAAAAAAAAACGAAACCACTATACCACACTCCCACAAACCAGACAATAATATTAAAACATTACCGAAATGAACCGTCAGTGGTCCTGCTGGGAGGAGGCCATTAATTGAAATTTTGTAACAAATGAAAGTAGTTAAGTCTTTACTAAAATTGGGGTGTGCGGGCGGTGTAATTTAGGTGAACATAGTTCTTTCCCAAAGGGGAGTTCATAATTACATAGTCAAGTGTAGGCACTGAGCAAGAAAAACAAAAATAGTGTGTTTACTTATCTCTCATCACTTACCATTTCTTCAATGTTTTAAAACATTACGAACTCTGCGATAGCTAGTTAGATACCTCAATTGAATAGACCTATTTACTATCTACAAGCAACCCAAACTTTAAACCTCTGTTGATCTGATCACTCCAATGAGCTGCAAGCATATTTCTACCAACTACCAACTGACCCAGTCACATTTCAAACATAATTGGAATTTCTTTCTGGAACCTCTTACATATAGAACAGGAGGCTGACATACTTCCTCTCTCAGTGCACTGTGTACATTCTTTATCCTAAATTACATGGTAGCAGACAGCACATTAAAAAAAGCCCTGATACCAGAGGCACAAGAGAAGCAGTGGTATTATTCAACTCCCGCACAATGCCATCTCGTTAAAAATAACCTTAACTAAAACTGATAAAATTAAGAACTGAGGCTCTGAACAAAAAGTTCTTTATCAATTGCCTTACTAAAAGGGTCACAAAAGAAGCATAAAACATCTGTATAAATATGTGGGCTTTTTTGAGAAAGGAATAAAAAGAAATAAAGTACTAGAAAAAAGCTAAACAGAAATATTTTTTTTAAAAAAAAGTATCATTGCTTTTCCAGTCAGGAACACAAGGGAACAAGCAGTTCAATTCATCCCCCTAAATAAAAGGGGAAAAAAATTACAACTTTTTGAAAGAAAATGTTAGTCAAGAAAGGATACCGTAATACAAATAAATTAAACAGACCCATTTATTTGTATTCAGTCTTTTTGATGAGGCTATTACTGAACACATAGCAGTGGAAGGCCCAAGTCTGGACTATTAAAAAACCAGTATGACAGCCAAGAGAACATTGGGCCCATCAGTCTACAAAACCACTGTGGGACATATTGAGACATATTTCAAAAACATTTACCCAGATATTTAAAAGGAAGTAAATATAAATTATCCAAGATACTTCAAGACCATCTGTAAAACTAGAAAGCATCTTACAACATGTTAATTCCAGAAATTAATTTAATTAATATATTACTTTGGCCACATTTGCTTAAGTATTCCATCCTTCCATGTCTTCTGCTATGTAAGATACACATAATTTCCATCATTTATTCTGTGATGGTCTACACAGGTTTCAGCATGCTAACTGACCTATTGGTCTTTTTTTTCTATTGCTCTACATAAAGGTTCCTCTCCCTCTCTATGATCTCCAAGTACAAAGCAAGAAAAGTCTCAAGTCACTTGCTATCACTTGATTGCTACCTCAAGTAGATCAAATCTTGTAAATCATCACAAATAGTACTTTTCCTTTTTCAAGTGGACTGAAGATTATCTGCAGGCATTTACTTTGGGACAAGATACTTGTCAACTACCATTTTGGATTTCCGTAACTCTGGTTCCATGCCAAGTATCAACTCTAGCAGCATTTAAAAATTTATATATTGTGTTGGGTGATCATTTATTCTTCCAAATCTTCTTCAGTTACAAAAGCTCTTTTTGTGTTCATTACTTGACACCTTACCACTATGACACAGCCTATCTAATTCCCCAAATAAGCTAAACGACATGCTTCTTTTAGAATACCTATTCTAAAAATTGCTTTGGCAGGAGGTCATTAGCCACATATTTTGTGTTCATCTCACTGGGGAAAGATAATCCAAGCAGACATCCAGTATTGACCAACAACATTAGCAGAGGTCTCGTGGGGTAATACAAGAACACAGTCAAGCCTTTAAGTGCTGGAATGTTTTTCTTGGGCCCATTCAAAACAAACTTACTGTCTGTCTGCCATTAAGAGGGCAAAAAGCTGTGATAAGGTCAGACACTAAAATGCTAGTGCCTCAACAACAAGCATGAGATGCATCCAGATGCTTGCTTCAGATTTACACCTTTCTGCACAGAGAAATGCAGTAAGTTACAAGCATTGCTAGTAACTACCAGCATACCATAATGAACGACATTTTTTACAAACTGCCAGAATACATACTTAACGCCTAGCATACCTAAAATACTGGAGGGACACAAAGCTTTAAGCTGGAACAATTCTATGAACTAAAACTGCTAATCTTTGAAATGTTCTGCTAAGGCTAAAGCGAATTTAGAAAGGACAGGACAATTTATTGTCAAATCATTTGTTTTCTAAAGATTCTCTTCTGTCACCATTTTGTTATACAAAGTAAAAATGCTATCAGAAAAGCAAAATGCACAAATTATTTCAGAATGCTCAACGCTTACAAATCCCATCAAGACAAAAAAGACAGGTGTTCCTAAAAGTAAATATGTGGGCAGCTTAAAACATATAGCTCTTTCAGAGGGAGTGAGAAGTTGCCTGAAATGGTATCAGAGGATGGGTAAGCAAAAAAGGCAGGATCTCCCATTTAAATAAATTTTTAACTACTCTTTTATCTATACTTTCAGATAAGATTCTGCATAATTCACAAGTATAAAAACAAATTACTGATGCAAGTAGGTACTAAAATTTCAATATTAGCTATGGGAAAACTGTTTATTGTACAGAATATTTGAAAGGAATGAAAAAAATCACTCAGAAATAACATCTTAAAATTAGATACAATTATGTAAAGCATATGTTCCATGATCAGTTTTTCAAACTTCTCTTTTTTTAGCATCACTACACTATACATATCTCAAGTCAACATCAGCTGGAGACAGATGGAAAACAGTCGTAAACTACTATGCTTACAAACGTGAGCTACTTTTATTTCTGAAGAAAAGCAAATACTAACTGTATTGCATGTACTGCCACTACACTTAAAACATATTACTGTCCACCAGAAACGAACGTAAAACTGCTAAGGAAAAAAGCAAGCTTAATTTTATAAAACTAAAATGTCCTTAGTTTGAGAATCTTTTAAAAAGTGGTTTTAACTTCTGATACAATTCTGGTTTGACTCACTTAATGCTTACCTCACAACTTCCATGAACTCCTGAACTCATTTTTTAATGACTAAAACATCACATTTCTTAATGTTTTCGTAAGATTACAGCAGAGCCTGCTGCTGCAGCCTAAGTGGTTATGTGTCTACTTCCCTATCTCCCTTCCAACACAGAATATTTGGCAGAATATTACAAGACAAATCCATATAAGAATTATTTTTTAACAGGATTCAGTTTCTCCTTACTAGAGAACCATGCCATACTTTTTAAACTTGCAGGTCCTACTCTCCAAATATCTAAGAACAACAAATAAAGCTAACATGCATTCTTCACGCATGAAACTTGTTGTTCTTTTAGCAATTTGTTAGTCTTTTTGGAAATAAATACATGAATATCAAGAAAATTTATTAGTATCCATAAAACATCACAAGGACAAAGTATGTATTCAAACTACACATACAGAGTTTAAGTTTTAGTCGAAATCCAAACATACTAAGTAAAGAAATAAATGATCAGGGAACAAACTGGACAAACAGCCTGAACTCTATCCAGTGAGATAAGCACAAGGGAGAAAAAACCTACACAGTCTTTTAAGCTCAGTTTAACTTGCCATAGGCCTACAGCCACTGAAGTACCTTAAGCATAACTGTGAAGTATTGAGTGGCACCACCACTGAAGGAAAAGTTGAAGCTGCTTGGACGCCCTACCTTTCCATTTCCTTACTTTGCGTGTTGACATATTTCTTGTTTGTGTTCCTTGGATTTACATAGTAGCTCCAAAGACAATTGCGACACTCTTGAAATGTACTGTGCCCTATGTTGTGATCCCCATTTTCACAATTAAATTGACATTATAATACATTCTTATACAGAAATACTATTTAAAATAATCACTTATTTGAAACCATTTTTCTTAATAACTGAAATTTTTAAGATATAATATATTGTTTCTTATTAATGAATTACAACAAAGTATTTATTTATAAACAGACACTTATACTTTCAATAGCCTAAATAAAAGCATCCTTACTCTTTCTCTGCATCTCCTTCACTTTCTTCTGCATGATCAAAGCTCCAATTATTTTTAAAACCTCCATCTCTCTTGGACTGCGATCTATCCAAAGCTGAAATGAGAACAAGTTAAGATAAGTCTTGATTTCAAGATCAGTTATTAATCAACACAAACTACAGGAGTAAACCAGATGCATATATCTCCCCCAAGTATTTATATTCTTTATGTCAATGCTTAACTGTCATTTGACAAAATAAGTTCATCAATGCCATGGTGACTCATTTTCTTAAATACAAGTGAGTATCTGTCAACGCTTTGGTTACTAATGCAAAGAGTTAGCAAGGTATTAAAAAGAATGACATGGGGTAGTTTTACAAGGATTTCAACTGTTTTACTGACACCTGTAAATTTAAGGGTTCCTTCTCAGATATGAATTATATGCCATGCGCAGAAAGGGTCCTCACATTTATTATTTAAATGTCTAATACTCAAGCACATATTTAATTTTCCGTACAAAAGCAACAGTTCTGAACTGCCCCAAGTACAATTTCAAGATAATACTTTTCTTTTAATTGAACATCTGACACTGACCTGAATTAACATCTGATGCTAAGTAAAATTTCAGTGTTAGCATCAACTAAGTAAGAACTGAATTTTCCGAAAACAGTCACACTACATCAAATTTCAGATTTATCTACTGCAATATCCAACAGCATGGACATTCTCATATAACATGACGGCATGGGGGTATTCTTAAACAAGGGAGGTCCAGAGCATGGAGACACCACTCATTAAAGCAAGGCCCTGTTCACACCGGGCCCTAATTATTGTGACTAAGAGCTGTCTCACACAAATTCTGTATGACAAACTTTGCAGCAGCTTTGATCTTGGTATAATTTACATTTCTCCTTTCTTACTATGTTTTTCTTTACATAGTTGGAAATGCATTTAGAAATAATGAGTGCAACTCTATGTTTTGATAGAAAAGAAAAAAAAAAATCACAACCAACAACAGATGTCTACAGTAAAGTATAAACAGTGCACACAGAAATATTTATTGTATATTCAACCTCTGCTTCCAGCTACTTGCATCTACTGAGGACTTCCTGAGCCATGGATGGTATTTTTGTGTTTAATGCTTTGCTAGCACTTTTCTTCTCCCCACTTGCTTTTTAAAATCAACCCTACTTTACAGAATCAATCTTGCAGCAGATGGTACCTCAGCTTAATTATACATTATATGACTAAGAATCTCCTTTTGTTTGTCCTGATTCAATCTGGCATCTTTCGCTCCTACTTAGTACTTTACTCTTCCAGTTCTTCTACTTTGGAAGACTGTAGTAAGTAATCCTTCCCTATTCACTCATAATTGTGTAGATCTCTGTTGTGTTCTTCCACAGCTATCCTTTTCCCAGGCAGAAAAAGAAAAACAACTGAGTCATTTTAATTTTTCCTCATACAAAAGTTGTTTGATGCCTTTAAATCACTCTCAATGGTTCTCTCTGAACCTCTTCTGTCTACTGTACCCTTTTTGAGGTGAGGATACCAACACTATGAGGAACATTCAAGATGCATACGTGCCATGAATTTCTATAGAAGCAGCATGATGTTTCTGGTTTGTTCTTTATTTCTTTCCTACTAAGTCTCAACACTGGATTTGCTGTTTTCACTGCCATGGAGAACTGCATTGATCTTCATGTACTAGCTAACTTCATCTTCCACTCGCGATCGGCAGGAACCAGTTCAGAGCCAATTACTGTCTATAAAAATTCTCTTTCCTACTTCTCATTCACCTAGATTTCTCTGCATTTACCTACACTGAACTTCAGACATGATTTTAACCCACATAACCCAAAACCTGAGCATCCGCAATTTTCTTTAAACAGCTAGCCATTATACTAAACCAAGTAAACTGCAACATCTACAAACTTTGTCACCTTGTTATCAAACCCTGTTCTTTGTATCTGTGCATCAATGTTAACACAGTCTTGTGGAATTCAATTGGTTACTCCTTCTATTAACAAAATGATCCACTTTTGCCCTCTCTTTCCATCTGTTGCCAGTTGTTCCTTATAAAACTTTCCATTTTATCCAGAGGCAACCTACTCTCTCCAAAAGTCTTTGGTAAAGGACTTTACAGAGGGAACGATGAAATTAATTCTGGTCTTTATTATAATTTCTATGAATTTGGGTTGTATGGTCACAAAGCTCGCTAATATAAAGTTCCTCAAATACCTCCACAGCCTTTTTAAAAAGTTAGTATCACAGTGGTGAACTTCTTTACCTGTAGCAGAAAGATGATGCTAACCAACAAGTAACATGCTACAGTCATTAGCTCCTTTATCCCCAAGCTCCTCTCACAACACTTGGATGAATGCCATTTGATCCTGCTGCCTTGTCCATTGTTTGCTTGAAGCACTGCGATTTCTTTCACTGATGTTTCATTTTGAGTCATACACCCTACCACATTCCTTCTTAAGAAATATTCTATCACAGAGACCTCTGTAAGTGCTGTCAAAGTGGATGCAAGCAATTCCATTTTTCAGCTATGACCTCACATTCTCCAAAGCTGCTTTTACAACTCAGTTGTCTACTGACCCTACAGATACTCCAGAAACTTTTCTGCTGAGTTTGATGAAATACTTAACAATAAGTTTTTATGCCTGTTGGGAGTTATTAATCAAAAAATTTTTTGCCTGCCTCATTATATATAGGTTAAATCCACCAGCTTTTTTACTATTCTCTATTTTCATCATTCGGACAAAAGATCAGACTCAAAAGGACAATGCTTTATTTCAGATATTCCACCTTACCCTGCTGTTTAGCCGTGACAACATTTGGGGGGCCTTTTGAAGCCTATTTAAACAAGCAGCATGCATGTGCTGTAAGCCTCCAATATGGTGTCTTTAATAACTCTCAAGCTGTCTGCAAATATTTTACACTCTGGCTGCATCTTTCAGTTCCTTTTCAAAAAATCTCTAAGATTTTCTGTACTCCATTTTTTGAACTAAGCATTTCTGTATTGCATGTTTTGTCCATCACTACAGACCAGCTCAGTTGTCCACAGAAGAATAGTCTTAATATGCCAGCTCTGCATCAATTTTCACTCTCTCTAGCATTCTTGGTCCTACCAAAAATACAAATCTACAAGTATACCATCATGTTAGCCAGACTGTTCACCTAACTGAATTTCTTGATCTCAATGGTCACTGATTCTACATAGGATTTTTTTTTTTTTTAACAGGGATAACAAGTCATCTGTCACTCAGGCTAAGTTTCTAACTACTTTGTAGTAAGACTTAAATTTGGAACCTCTGTGTGGAAATTTTTACTACATATACTATCAAGGCCATCTTAATCATTCATACCCAGAAGGTGAAAATATTCAAATAAGCAGAACTGGCCCTAAAATATTGAGCCAATAGAAGTTAATTGCTATATCTCTGCCCAAGAAAGGCAGCATGCTGGAGCAGATTTCACTAGCAATGACAATTTTTCTTCCCACTACAAGCTCCCTTTGGTGCTGTTATACCAAGGAAGATAAGCAATCCTAAGACCAAGAAACTAGATGGAATTTAAACAGACATCTTAACAGATGTATCTAACATATTTCACTGCTTTTTTTAAACAATTGTGATCAGTTACATGTCATTTTTTAAAAGTCAATTAAAAAATTTCCTGAAAAAATGATTTGTATTTTACTTTTTATTACAACTTTTACGGCATTATTAACTACGTCCTGAAGCCAGCCTTTCAGAAATCCCCATACAGTCTTTTTGTGTAAAAACCAATTAACAATTTTTGGATTACAAACCCAAGTATGCTTGTAGAAAAAACAGCAGAAAGCAGATTAACACTTTTAAGTTACTGTTCTGTGGACTCTTTTGTAAACTTCTTTAGGAGGAGTTTCTATCATACAATAGTGTCATTAAGCAATTCCTAAATAAGAGGGAAAAAGTTCACAGTGAATCTCCATGAAGTCAGAGTAAAGTTGTGCATTTGCAAAAAAAAAAAAAACCAAACCTTTAAAGTTCTGCCTGTCTAAAACACTGAAGTGAGGAGTGATACACAATATTTAGTAAAGTGCTAGTATCCAACCGAAGATATCATCTTAGAAGATTTTTTTGCATGTCTTGTACATTGTGCTCTAAGGTCTATCATTCCATATGAATCTATGTTACAGCTGACCAGAAAAACATACCTATTTCATTATTGGTTTCAACATGATGCTGTATTTGGTTTATGTGGTGAGGTTCTGGTAGCCAGGGACAGGGGGGAAGGGCTACAGGGGTGACTTCTCGGAGAAGCTGCTAGAAGCTGCCCCCATCTCTGATAGAACCAATGCCAGCCAGCTCCAAGACAGACCCTCTGCTGGCCAACGCTGAGCCCACCAGTGACAGTGGTAGCACCTCTGTGATAACATATTTAAGAAGGGAAAAACACACCTGTGCAACACAACTGTAAGAGAGGAGTGAGAGCATGTGAGAGAAACAGCTCTGCAGACACCCAAGTCAGTGAAGAAGGAGGGGGAGGAGGTGCTCCAGGTGCCAGAGCAGCAATTCCCCTGCAGCCCACGAAGGTTAACAGTGGGGCAGATCTACCTGCAGCCCGTGAAGGACCCCACACCGGAGCAGGCAGATGCCTGAAAGAGGCTGTGATCCCATGGGAAGCCTGTGCTGGAGCAGGCTCCTGGCAGGATCTGTGGACCCATGGAAAGGTGCCCACACTGGAGCAGGTTTGCTGGCAGGACTTGTGACCCTGTGGGGCACCCACGCTGGAGCAGTCTGTTCCTGAAGGACTGCACCCTGTGGAAGTGACCCATGCTGGAGCAGTTCATGAAGAACTGCAGCCCATGGGAAGGACCTATGTTGAAGAAGTTCACGGAGGACTGTCTCCCATGGGAGGAACCCCACGCTGCAGCAGGTGAAGAGTGTGAGGAGGAAGGAGCAGCAGAGATGACACATGGCAAACTGACTACAACCCCTATTCCTGATCCCCCTGTGCCGCTCAGGGGAAAAAGGTAGAGAAATCTGGGAAGAAGGGAGGGGGCGGGAGGAAGATGGTTTAAGATTTGGGTTTACTTCTCATTATCCTACTCTGATTTGATTGGCA